TTCCACGAAAGTAAGAGCCTATTTAAACTGCAGTGTCTCTGTATGCTGGGTTGTGTGTTCTCCAACACAACTCTCACAATGCTTCGCACAACGTACTCCAACACAACGTACTCGCTCTCCCAATGTGGAGCTTAACACTAACACCCTCAAAAGACAGAGTTTGCAGGGGGCAGATCTAATACCAGGCTGGCTACAAGACCAACATTCATTCTTGGCCATATTTGAGTTTCCTATCTGCAATGGACAGCATAGTTAGGGTTCACCCCGGGCGCTTCTCTCCATTAACAGGCGGCCAAGCTAAGTGCCTGAAGGACCCCATCTTGTCACTAATTCATATTAGTGGTCCACAGGATTTAAAATTATGAATTTAATGGTCCCTGAGGTCCGAAAGGTTGATGACCCCTGGGCTAAACAAACCTTCCTTAACAATCCACATCACCACAAACACATCCAGGATTTTGCACTTAGGAGGGAAGCAACTGGCAAAAGCAGCTCACCTTGGAAAGGTGTTTGATTTTGATGCCCGACACCAAATCCGAAGGCTCCTCCTCTATGAATTGACTTTTCAAAGCCTTCTCTGGATCTTCCTCCTCTTCCTTCTCTTTCCCCAGAACGGTCTGGGGACTCCCACACCAGTAAGAAGGCTAAAGGAAGAAAGAGAACCCATCATTCCTTTCCGAAAGACTGACCCAGGGAAGAAAATCAGAAGGAGCTTTCGAAAGTATGCACGCTCTCGTCCTCTCTGGAGGAGATGTCCATTGGGAATGGCTTTTAAAAGACAGCGAGCCATTTCTAAAGGCCGTGAAACCCACTTTTCAAAACGGAAAGCCATAAAGATGCTTTTCAAACATTGATATGCCCAAGTCCCAAATTCCGTACATTACTACAAAATGCATTTCTAACTTCAATAGTCTATTGATTGATTGTCTGCCATTAAGCTAGTGTTAACTTTTAATGACCCCCATAGGTAGTTTTTTCTACAGGAAAATTGTTCCTCAATCTGGTTAACAGTTTCTTACTTTTTATTCATTTTGTATGGTGAATTACAAAGTCTCCTATTCTCTACGGGTAAAACTTAGGTGGCTTAAATGCTCACAAAATAACTCCTATCGATGCTGACAAAGTGGCGGCTAAAATTGTAAGGGCCCTTTCCAACACACAGCTTGGAAAGTAGGTTTGTGAACTCTTCTCTCTGCTAAAAGAATTAACCCAAACATATACTGTCCAAGCAGGAAAAGAAATAACTTCTTTGAGATAGGTGGCTTTAAAAATTAAACAAATAGATAGAGGATAGATGGATAGTTTTTGTAGATAGAGAGAGAGATAAATAGATGGATAGATACCATGTTTCCCCCGAAAATAGGACAGGGTCTTATTTTCTTCCTGAAATAAGTGCTTGGCGTTATTTTTTGGAAGATATTATTTTTTATGTCCAGGAGGCAGCGAGCATGATCATCTCATGGCTGCTGCTGTGTTGCAATATTTTGGGGGAGGGCTTATTTTCAGGGGCAGGCTTATTTTAGCACATGTGCTCAAAAGCTCAATTGGGTTTATTATCTGGGGAGGTCTTATTTTCAGGGAAACAGGGTAGTTATATGATAGATTGAATAATTAATAGATAGATAGATAAAGATAGATAGATAAATAGATAGATAGATAGATAGATAGATAGATAGATAGATAGATAGATGATAGATAGATGACAGATAGATGATAGATAGATGATAGATAGATGACAGATAGATAGATGTTGTGGCCCAGCAGGAGCTGTTGGAGGTGCCGACAGACTTCAATAGCGAGGGACCCTATGAGTCGGCTCTGGGCAATGTGGAGGACCCTGGGCAAGGTTCAGACTCCGAGTAGGGACCAGAGAGGCTGGTTGGCCACCAGAAGGCACCTGAGGCATGGAGCAGTGGTGAAAGCCAAAGGGAGTTTGTCCCTGACGTCAGGCCCTGGAGCAGTGGTGAAGATGTCAGGCCCTGGAGCAGTGGGGAGGAGCAAAGGGAGTTGGTCCCGGACGCCAGGCAGAGACGGGCGGATAAGCGCCGGCAGCAATTATGGAGACTTAGAAGATAATCGGGCCCAGGTGGTTGTGATTAGGCTCCTCCCAAGAGAGTATATAAGAAGAGACTTTGGGAGGAGACCTTTTGCAGGACACAACCATTTTACTAAAGCTGGAGAAGCTCTTGTGTGTATTTCTTATCTGTGGGAGTCTGGGTTGCTGCCAAAGTCTTGTCTGTGAGTAATTACTGCGAATAAAGTGGCTAACAGTAATCTTGTGTCGGTGTGTCTCACTGTACGGAGGGGGGGTCAGAACAGATAGATAAAGATAGATGGATGGATAGATAGATAGATAGATAGATAGATAGATAGATAGATAGATAGATAGATAGATGATAGAGGTAGAGATAAATAGAGACAGACAGACTAACTGACAGACACAGACAGATAGATATGGATGGATAGATGAAGAGAGACACAGAGACACAGAGACACACACACACACACACACAGAGAGAGAGAGAGAGAGAGAGAGAGAGAGAGAGAGAGAGAGAGAGAGAGAGGGAGAGAGAGATGCCCAATGCTTACCATGACGAAGAAGTACCAGGGTTGTGGAATGCCATATTCTCCAGGGAACACGTTCTCCATGTACCAAGCAACCAAGCCATAGATGCAAGAATCCAGGAGAAGCATACCCAGGACATGAGCCATTGTGAAGTTATCATCTACGCTCACAGCTTTCATCAGGTTTCCCCACTGTATCCCCGTGCCTGGAAAATACAAGCTTTTATTTAGTTCCTTATTTAATTAAATTTATATGCCAGCCATTTCCGCCGTAAGCTGACTCTCAGCTGTTTACAGATCCTGAGCAGCAGAAAAGCAGTTAAAAATTTTAAACTCTGCAAATATTTTAAACTGCAAATTTGGAAGTGCAAACTGTTAAAACTCATGCAACAAGGATTTCTTTTATATCTCTCTCTGTGTGTGTCTTATCTATCCTATCGATACCTTACCTTATCTACCCATCTATCCATACATACATCTATCTTCCTATCAGTGGTGGGTTGCCAATTATTTTTTACTACCAGTTCAGGTACACTCCCATGCGCGACATTTCTGTGCATGCACAGAAGTGTCTGGGCGGGTGAGCAGAGCCTCCTGCCACCGCTACCGGTTCGGCTGATCTGGGCCGAACTGGGAGCAACCCATCTCTGCTTTCTATCCATCCATCTATCTTTCTATCTTTGTCTTTCTGTCCGTCCATTCATCCATCCTTCTATCCATCTCTGTCTCTGTCTCTCTCTGTCTCTGTCTCTCTCTGTGTGTGTCTCATCTATCCATCCATCCCTGGCTGGCTGAGGAATTCTGGGAGTTGAAGTCCACACAACTTAAAAGTTGCCAAGGTTGAGAAACACTGATTTACAGCATGCTGGCTGAGGAATTCTGGGAGTTGGAGTCCACCCCTCTTAAAGCTACCAAGTTGGACGACTTTGCATATAGTGTAAATATATGAATGTGTATAATAATATTCCTGACAATGTAACCTCAGACATTGGCGTCCAAACCTACAGGGGACGGGGGGGGGATGGGGAACATTGAAGGAAGAAGCCATCTCGCTCTGCTCACCTTTCCCTTCAAACATGCCGATCAGCTGTGCCCCCATAGCCATGGCGACGTTGGAGATCAGACAGGACGAGAGTTTCTGGCTGTGGGTCATGTGGTCGTAGCGGGGGGAGATAAAAAAGTACGGAATGTAGGAGAAAAAATAGAGGAAACCTCCCGCAGCTGCGGCTACATTGGCTGCAAACACAAAGTGGATATTGACTGTAAAAAGAATCAACGGGGCTTGGTGTTCGTTGGAGAGCCAATGCATTGGCGATAGATAGACCCAGGGCAATCTCAGGATGGCTGGAGGAGAGGGAGGAGGAGGAGGAGGAGGAGGGGGGGG